ATGTTGGAACACGTAAAAAAAAATAAAAAAAAATCTGGCAACCACTTACAGAGGCCCCATTGGAGGATACCTGATTAGCTCTCTCCCTCTTTTTTAGCCAACATGTCTAAATAATAAATACCTCAGATAAGGGTGGCATTTGAAATGAAATGAGCTGAGGTAGGATACCAGCTCTTTAGCCTATAAAAGTGATTTGTTAAAAAAAATTTACTGCTTGCTTCTTTTATCAGAGACTTGGATATACCACAGCCGATTTGGGTACTCCAGGAATAATAATAATAATCAGTATATCAGTAGATCACATGGTCAGGCCTGAACGATTTTTCAGAAACATCGGCTTTATTTTTTTTAAGGATGATCTAAGTGAAGGTTGTATGGGAGGAAGAAATTCAAATACTAGGACTGACCAGCCTTTTCAGCAGCGATACTGCACCATGATCGCTGCAGATTCAGCAGCGTTGTCCATTTGGATTTACACCATTGATTTTGTTCTCGCACCACACAGTGCTGAGGGTCGCTGGTCATTACTTTCGTACATGTGTGTTTGTCTGGGTGAAAGTGAGAGCTTTTCTCTAGCTGAATGTGAGTTCTTTTGGCTGCCTGATTATGAGTTTTTTTTTTTTTTTTTTGGTCTAGGTGAATTCAAGAATTTTTGTTTGGATGAATGTGTTTTTCTCTGGGTGATAATGACATTTTCTTCACACGTACCTCAACCTATCCTCACCTTCGTAAGTTACTCGTATAAACATAAAATGTAAATCATGTAAATCAAAACGCAACACACTGTGTCTAAATACATGATCAACTAAGTATCTTGAACAAAACCCCTACCTTTTTTTCACATGTCTTATGATTTCTCTACAAATGATATTTATCCTTGGTTAGGTCAGGCTAAGTTAGATACGGTTGGTTAAATTATCATTAATTCATTTGGGGAGTAAGTATAGCCAATGGAAGAACAGAAAATATTTTTAAAATGTCCAGATAAACTCTCCAGATAAACACTTACGAAGTCATAAGTACACACATCTTACTTGGGTCTGAATGAAAGCCCTAATGTTATTTTTTTATCAACTGGTATATGTGCTTTGAAATTACTCCTTATGATGAATTAGCAAGGAAGTAATTACGAATCTGAGGAAGGAGTTACAGACCTGTTCTTACAGCTCCCACAGACCTTCACTTACAATTCGCACAAACCTGTCCTGAGCTCCCAAAGATCACCACAACTCTTACAGACTTGTCCGCACAATTGTCACGGCTTGACTTCAAACCTCCCACAGATTTTAATTTAATTACAAACATAAGGAAAGAGTTGTATCTTACGTTTGCAGGTTCTTCAAATTGCTGGATGACGTTGTTTGGTGAGGATCCCGTTTCAGGTATTATGTTGGGGTAAATTGGCATAAAAAGTGGGCAAACAATACCTACTGGATCTCTGTATACAGCATCATTGACAGTTTTGTCCAAGGACCGAACTGGGCATATTGACAATAAAAATATCAGGGTCAGCCTTGTTTGGCTAGAACGTGTCGTGTTACTGGAAAAAAAATCTCAAAGTGTTAGGCAAATTGAGTAAAGCTTAGGAGAAACTTTAAAATTTATTCCATAGGCAGTAACAAGCTACAAGTGACAATACGTTCTGAAACAGGACCTAACACCAATGTCCTGTAGAACTCCGTTTAACTTTGTGTTCATCTGTAGGGCCCACTGGGTCTGATCTTTCCCAAAGACATAAACATATGTGTAACTAATGAAGTTAGAGAAACAACAGGCTTTTATAAAGTAAATCTGATATAGCAGGCTTCACCTCATCATTCATCTGTTCATTACCCGAGATCCCAACACGGGCAGACACCAACTGAAAACCACATAAGTGTGCCGGACGTAGATACACAATGAAGACAAGATATCAAATTTAGAGCAGTTAATTACTAGGTTTATAAAGAACACACGGAAAATAAAAAGGGAAGGTAAATATAAATAAGGTTATCATTAGAAACAGAAGCAAGGCCAGGAGCCGAAATTCAACCAACATCAAATATAAATATATTAGAAGTAACACCTACTGGTGTCACCGACACCCAGCAGTGACCAGGAACAATTCTGGTACGATCTATACTAGTGAAGCTACGCACGCAAGAATACCATTCTGCTCACCTATAACAGAATAATACACACACACAGACACACACATTTTATATATATATTTTTCCTCGAAGCCTTTTATCCACTTGGTCCCACAATTTGCACTAGAGGTTCACCCCACTCTCTCTCTCTCTCTCTCTCTCTTCTCTCATATATATATATATATATATATATTATATATATATATATATATATATATATATATATATATATAATATATATATATATATATATATATTATATATAATTATATATATATATATATATATATATATATATATATATATATATATATATATATATATATATATATATATATATATATATATATATATATATATATATATATATATATATATATATATATATATATATATATATATATATGTAGAGAGAAGAGAGAGAGAGAGAGCTGGGGGTGAACCTCTAGTGCAAATTGTGGGACCAAGTGGTCTAAAATCCAGTTCTTTGAGAAACGTGGGCGTTCTCTCCCCATGATCCCAAGGTCTCTGATCCCACTGGAACAAATTAATGCTGATGGCTTGTCTCTGGACTTGCTAATTTTGTGCTTCTCCCTGTGATCCGCAGCACCTCCCTCTTGCCCAAGGCTATGACGGATGTAGGTGTCATCCAGCGTCGACACGCAGGTATAGCCCCATGCTAAAAGCTTGCCATTCTTCCAAGAACAGATAGTGATCCTGTGTGACAAGTTTGCGGGATTGTGAGTATTGTTGGATGTTAGGGATCGGGGCTCTCTCTCAGATGGGCATTTAGCTGTAGCAACACTCCTCTTTATAATGTCGTTCACTTCACTGTGTCTTGCGTTTTGGAGCAGTTAAGACCATGCAGACGATATTGGTCGGCTTGTGCATCCGTATGAACTTGGAGAGCGTGGCGGAGAGCCACTGTTAGAGGAAGGTTCTGTTGGTCGAAGCGTGTTCCCATTGCCGAAATGGGAACTATCTGGAGGTCCCCAGAGTGAGGAGCACTCACAGCTTGGAGACAGGCAGTCTCCCTGCTGGATGTTGCAGCCCTGAGCATGTTGGCATGTTTTCAGCGATAGGGCCATCCCAACTCGACTGTTTTTAGGCCAGTGCTGCACTAGGTTTTGGTGATGAAACAGCGATAGTCTCCCATTCGGTAATGATACTGGTGTAACTAGGATCCAGTATTCCTGTTGAGTCACCAAGGTTGTCCGGAAGAATCTGTTTTATTAACTCGTCTAATGCTCTGGAGGAGGATAAGAAAGCTTGTAAGGCAATCTGAGAAGGTTTGCGTACTCGAGATGAGAATTACAGTGTCTCTAATGTGAATGATGAGTAGAGGATGCTGTGGTTCCTAGGGTAGGAAGTGCCTGCACTCTGATGGACAGGTGAGGATAATGTGGGTCTTGAAGTGGAAAGTACTGTGCCTGCACTCTAAATGATGGGAAGAGAATGTTGTTGTTCTTAAGGAAAGTGGGAAGTACAGTGTCTACACACTATCGTGGCTATTGTGATTCTTGAGATGGAAAATACAGTGCCTGTGCTCTGAATATTGTATAGGGATGTTGTAGTTCTGGAGGTGGTGAGTGCAGTGCCTGCACCCTGGAAGATGGGCAATGGCGTGGTGTTGAGGTGGGAGGTACATACCCTGCACTCTGAAGAATGGTTAAGAGATATTATAGTTCTGTAGTTAGAAAGTACAGTGCCTCGACTCTGGTAGAGAGGTGGGGATTTTGCGGTTCGGAGGATTATTTTCAGTGATGTCGGGAAAGTCAGCTAATGAATGAATGATGGTGAATGTTTTCTTTTGAGGATCATCCTATCTTGGTAGGCGACGGCCGTTGTGGTAATAGTTTATACTTAATATAGACCAAACTTACAAACAAACGTTAAAGTACTGGTCTCACCTCTTTAACGCGCTTAATTAGTTAAATTAATGCATGTGTAACTACCAGTCGCTGCTTCATTTGACGTTTCGTTTAAGAATTACGCACCAGTTGTTAATATCGGCTGAAAAACTTCATGAAATACATAAAAATACTACATTTATAATTTGAAGTATATTATACACTGCAAGGGCAGGTTTTAAAATAAGTAACAGAATGAGAACACTGTCAACGGAGAGTTTGTAATGTCACAACATGAGGTGCGCTCAGATGGCAGTCACTGAGTAACTTCTGGTCAGAATATGATAACATATACAATATCGATCATAAAGATACCTAACTGCTGCATATGTGTCTTGGTTATCAAACTCTGATCAGGCCAGGCAACGTTCTTGGTGAAATTCAGAAAAAAATAGTTTATCATATTATTTATGTAACATACTCCACAGAGAAACAGACACAAAAATGCACGCGCACACACACAAAACCATAGGTAATTTTAATAGGTATGATTGGGTTCAAGCAGCTAGCAGATAGTGAACCCCGTAGCATTCAGCGGAAGGCCGGACCAAGAGCATAAATTCGACTCCTGCAACCACAAATAGGCGAATACAAGTAAGTGAACACATACACACAAGTGTGCTCTGTCATGTTTATGACTGGGAAAGCAAAGTAATTATGAAGACACACATTGCCTCTCTCTCTCAAGTCTCCTGCTACATTAACTCCCATTCATTTTTTTCAAACATACAACGTGCACCTCCTTTAAGATAAGTTGTGCGAGCAAGTATTACCAGCTGTAACTGAATTATCTTTTTAGCTGCAAGGTATGTAGCAGGTTCCCTTTGAGTTTAATACACAGGGCATGTAAGTGAATCATATCTGCCAGCTGCAACATAATCATGAAAGTTAAAATATAATCGTCTTAGTAATTAAACTAATCTTAAGCAATACAAGTGTATACTCTGAGGAGTTCACTTACATCTGGACTGGATGGTGTTGTCGCCGGAGGAGGCATCATCTTCGTCATCTTCCTCAGTTCTTGGAGTCATGTCTTGGAAGTTGACGATGAACATGCACGTGTCACCATCTTCGTTTTTGATCGGACACAGCGTCGTCTGGCACAGGAATTTCGTCCCTGGAACAAAAGGATTAAAGGTAAGGATTGCCTATTTGTAACAATGATACATAAAGTTGGTGTGATAGTTACTGATAACGAGCGTCGTCAACAACGGTGGGAATTAAGTACAGACAAGTGCATACTATACAGAGAGAAATTCAACTTGCATGAGTTTCTTGCTTCTTGTAACAACGCATACAATATGTGAAAGACGAATGTGGTGGATAAGTGGTACAATGTCTGCTCAGTATTTAACAGACGCGGGTTCGCGTTCCTGGTAAGTTGAATAAATATTTACTGTTCACAAGATAAACGTACAAATTTAGCTCAATATCCCACAAATTATGACAATAAATAATGAAAAAAACGCCAAGACTCTGCATAGATGGTTAGAATATGATTTATGACGAAATAAACAGCTTTTTTTTGGTAGTCTGATATACCCATTATTCACAAGGTTTTCAAAGAATCCTCTACACAACCCACCAGATGTTTTGGACAATGTTTTATGAACCAACCTTTCACAGTAGTGCCATAAGCTATGATACTCTAAGTATTGTACTCTTTGGGCTATATCAATAACGTTATGGTTGGAGGACAGTACTAAGGTGGTAAATATATTTACATCCTTAAGTTGCAAGTTTCCGCAGTTAAAAAGTTGCAGGTTTGTGCAGTTATAAAGTTGCAGGTTTGTGCAGTTATAAAGTTGCAGGTTTGTGCAGTTATAAAGTTGCAGGTTTCTGCAGTTATAAAGTTGCAGGTTTGTGCAGTTATAAAGTTGCAGGTTTGTGCAGTTATAAAGTTGCAGGTTTGTGCAGTTATAAAGTTGCAGGTTTGTGCAGTTATAAAGTTGCAGGTTTGTGCAGTTATAAAGTTGCAAGTTTCCGCAGTTAAAAAGTTGCAGGTTTGTGCAGTTATAAAGTTGCAGGTTTGTGCAGTTATAAAGTTGCAGGTTTGTGCAGTTATAAAGTTGCAGGTTTGTGCAGTTATAAAGTTGCAGGTTTGTGCAGTTATAAAGTTGCAGGTTTGTGCAGTTATAAAGTTGCAGGTTTCTGCAGTTATAAAGTTGCAGGTTTGTGCAGTTATAAAGTTGCAGGTTTGTGCAGTTATAAAGTTGCAGGTTTGTGCAGTTATAAAGTTGCAGGTTTGTGCAGTTATAAAGTTGCAGGTTTGTGCAGTTATAAAGTTGCAAGTTTCCGCAGTTAAAAAGTTGCAGGTTTGTGCAGTTATAAAGTTGCAGGTTTGTGCAGTTATAAAGTTGCAGGTTTGTGCAGTTATAAAGTTGCAGGTTTCTGCAGTTATAAAGTTGCAGGTTTCTTCAGTTATAAAGTTGCAGGTTTGTGCAGTTATAAAGTTGCAGGTTTCTGCAGTTATAAAGTTGCAGGTATCTGCAGTTATAAAGTTGCAGGTTTGTGCAGTTATAAAGTTGCAGGTTTCTGCAGTTATAAAGTTGCAGGTTTGTGCAGTTATAAAGTTGCAGGTTTCTGCAGTTATAAAGTTGCAGGTTTGTGCAGTTATAAAGTTGCAGGTTTCTGCAGTTATAAAGTTGCAGGTTTGTGCAGTTATAAAGTTGCAGGTTTGTGCAGTTATAAAGTTACAGGTTTGTGCAGTTATAAAGTTGCAGGTTTGTGCAGTTATAAAGTTGCAGGTTTCTGCAGTTATAAAGTTGCAGGTTTGTGCAGTTATAAAGTTGCAGGTTTCTGCAGTTATAAAGTTGCAGGTTTGTGCAGTTATAAAGTTGCAGGTTTGTGCAGTTATAAAGTTGCAGGTTTGTGCAGTTATAAAGTTGCAGGTTTGTGCAGTTATAAAGTTGCAGGTTTCTGCAGTTATAAAGTTGCAGGTTTCTGCAGTTATAAAGTTGCAGGTTTCTGCAGTTATAAAGTTGCAGGTTTCTGCAGTTATAAAGTTGCAGGTTTCTGCAGTTATAAAACGTCTTGCTGAAAATATCGTAATATCTTGTTAAATACTCCAGAGTTAGTGCAGCTTTGAAGTGATAGCTGAAATAATTTGATATTCTTCCACACAAAATTAAAAGAATACCATCTCCTTACAGATCTTTACAGATCTCCTTACAGGAGTAGCGTAAATATTTACGTATGTGTGTGTGTGTGTGTGTGTGTGTGTGTGTGTGTGTGTGTGTGTGTGTGTGTGTGTGTGTGTGTGTGTGTGTGTGTGTGTGTGTGTGTGTATGTGTGTGTGTGTGTGCGTGTGCGTGTGCGTGTGCGTGTGCGTGTGTGTATGTGCGTGCGTGTGCGTGTGTGCGTGTGCGTGTGCGTGTGTGTGTGTGTGCGTGTGTGTGCGCGTGCGTGCGTGCGTGCGTGCGTGCGTTCTATATGTTTTATTTAAATCTGACTTATTTCCTAATTCTACGTACAGTCAGGAGAGGTAAGTCAATATTGCTTCACAGTGTTTTCAACTGTAAACTTAATAAGGGGAAAAGACTGTTAGTCATGTTAAAATGTTTATCGATTAACTTTAAAAATTTACTTTATAGTCAAAGTTCAGATTAACATTAAGTATAAGAAATAGAGACCGTAGTTACAGTGGCAATATCGTACGAAATAATTTGTATGCATATTACACAACCCACAGAGCCACAAAACACAACTGATCTTAAACAGTAACTATGTTACTGTATTATGACCAAAGAAAACATGAGACATTAAGATTTTTTGAGCTATATTTCTCTTTATGACTTCGGTTTTTCCATCCACATTTCCACAACATAAATGTACTGTACTATACATTGTATTTCGCAAAGCGCTAAACTTGTGTGGTTCATTCAACACAATGGGTCGCGAAGGTCTGATCCTTTGGCAATCGCGGCCCGATCTCTGATCAGTCAAGCTGTTGTTAATCTATCGTTTGGAACATTAACAAAGTCTTTTGTTATCATAAGTGATGAATCTGAGTGTTCAGATCTGGGACCTACGTTGCAGTTTCTGGTACTTCGAGCGTTCTCAGTAGTTCCGATACTTGATTAAAAATTTCTCTGTGCGTTTTCCAGATCAGGAATCTTTCCCGTCTTGAAGATTTAACACAGTGGAGTGTTAAAACTTATAGGAAGATAGGAAGAAACGTTATATATTTCTTGTGTGGAAACTAGTGCACTATTCGCATGTCAAAAAAAAAAAATGATAAATTAGCAGTTACACAGCCCAATAACAATCCTAATATCGGTCCGAGTGCGATACTCCAATAATGAGGGATTCAATCCCGTCAGAAGAGGCATTCTCATGTTATCACTGGGAAGGCCTTATATGGGCCAGTAGTCCTTCTGCAGTGTTCCTCCATTCTTATGTTAAGGATGCTCAGTGGAATTGGTCTCCCTGGTATATCACGGACACATCACTTACGGTGCTAAGCCAGAAGAAATTTTTGGAATACTAGTATAAAAATATAAAAAGTTTGAATTAAGATTATTTTTTTATTATATATTTTAGAAAAATATATACATTGGTGATTTAAAACGGTGTAAAGTCTGTTTAATTTTTCAGCTCTATAGCCCAATTTCCTAATGCTCCAGAAGGGTAGGTATAACCCTTCAATATTTTTAAATATTTGCTAACTGCAGCATACAAAGCTGACTAAAGACATGCGAGCTTCCTTCAAGACGCAGCAGTTTTGAAAATTTGAAGCCGATATAGTAAAGATTTGAGTCACTCAGAATAGGCATTCTAAATCTATTTCGCTTAAAATTATACTAAACCATTTTGAAATAAAAAATGGGCAAATTGGTACGACATGGTAGAACAATACTTTCAACCTCTCCCTCAATAAGATACACCAGCGATGAAAGTTCGAAGCAGATCAGAAAAAACTTTCTGAAGTTACCAAAAGGAAACCAAAATCACATGGCTGAACCTTTTCCCAGTTATAGTAGACCAATGTTGCAGATCTGAAGGCAATCGATGAGGCATTCTCAGGTTATAAACAAAAACCTTGAAAGAAAAACAACTCAGACAGCCATTGACAGGTGCCCAATTAGGTGGATTCTTTATAAGAGTGGTGCATACACACGTAGAGGAAGCCTCAGCTGGAGCCACAGCAAGGGGCCATAGGCTAAGGTCCTATGTTTGGATCCCTCTAAATCACAACTGGAGCCTCAGCTAGGGGCTCCAGGTTTGGACCCTAAAAGCCACAGTTGGAGCCTCAGCTAGGGGCCCCAGGTTTGGACCCTAAAAGCCACAGTTGGAGCCTCATCGTGGGCCACAGGCTTGGACCTCGGAGCCACAACTGGAACCTCGGCTGGAGCTCCAGCTAAGGCTGATGCACCCTCCTGAAGGGCCTCAGCTGGAGACGTCCACCTAATCCTGGTTTATCGGGCCATTATGCTCTACACCCACCTTCAAAACATCATTTGCAGAATTGCCTCAAACGAGGAATAAGAAGAATGAATGCTAGCAGGCAACACTAAGCTTTCCTACCACAGAATTTACCTCCCTTCCATCTAACTTCTACTCTTCTGATCGAGTTTCCCCTCACTCTCGTCCCCCAAACTTCCTATTTTCTCATTAATTCTTCCTTCCCTCCTTTCCCCATCACCCAAGTTCCATCTCCCCCCACCCCCCTCTTTCCATTTAATCTCTTTCCCTTCCTCCCCGCCAGACCCTAAAACTTTTCGTATTCCCATCGAATCTCCTACGCCCCCCGACAATCTCCAGTCTCCTCCCTCTCTACCACCTACCTTCTCCTTTCTTCTGTTGTTCTTGCTGATTCTTTAGTTGGTGTCACTGGTGCTATTTTCCATTTATAAAATTGCCGTTACTGTTCCTGCTGCTTCTGTAACAGCTGCAAATTTTATCGAAGCCTCTTACTGCTGTCGTTCTTGATACTTCCACCTTTTCTCCTGTTGTCGCTGCTCCTAGTATATTATCCTGCTTTCACTGTTACCGTTAGTAATACAGTACTTTTAGTCCTGCTGTCGCTTCTTCTGTTGCTATTGTTAGTGTTATTCTCCTTATGTTGTCGATGCTACTGTCCCACGTTCCTTTTCTATCACTGACACTGGTTGTGGG